GACGTCTCTACTGTATCACTGTCAGTTTGTGCTGTATACTGAAGACTTTCTGGTCACAGTGGTTATTTTATAATTCACGATTGTGGTTTTGTGAAGAAACTAGTTTCTACTTCTCGTCTTGACTTACATTTTCTCATATCCGAACAAAGTCAGATTTTTGTTTTTATAGTTAAGTAAATGCAACTCTGCTGCCTGGGCATAAACTTGCTGCCATGTTACTCAGCAACTATTTTTATATGGACATGCTGCATTCAGTTTCATAAGTCACTGTCTCTGCAGTATGTGATTTATGCGTATGAATTATCTGTTGTATAAGGCTTATTCGTATATGGCATAAATAATGTGACTACCTGTTGTATATGGCTTATGCATGTAAATTATCTGTTGTATATGGCCCATATTGTTGATTAACTATTGAATATTACTTAAACATGTGGATTATCTGTCTATATGACTTATACATGTCGATTACCTATTGTATAAGGCTTATAGGTGGGGATTATCTGTTTTATATGTTGATTAACTATTGAATATGGCTTAAACATGTGGATTATCTGTCATATATGACTTATAAATGTGGAATACTTGTTGTTTAAGGCTTATAGGTATGGATTATCTGTTGTGTAATGGATTAAATGTCGTTTATGGCTTATACAGTGCAGATTGCGTGATCTTGGATGCGAAGAATCTCTGTTGTGAAGAACAATTTGTTTATCCACGTAAATATGTCTTGCTTTAACTCTTATCTGGATGAGAGAAATTTAGGATAAGAAGAGCCATTTTTTTTTCGCAGGTGAGTTTTCCTTATCAGGTCTGCACCAATCCTGTGGATTATTTGTTGTAAATGACTTAGACATTCTGGTGAATGTGAATACATCCTCACAGGATATTGATTTATTTATAGTTCGATATCTATAAATTTATAAATACAAATACTACATTCCCTGATTTTGTAATGGTGTCTGGAAATGTATTTCAACACACACAAAAAGTATGAATGCATACAATGTGGAATGGCAGCCAGGGTTAAGGGATTTAACCAGTGTCAAATTAAATCCTTCGGGGAGAGGGGGTATTACATTTAAAGCTGTATAACTCAACCAATTATAATTATTTTACTCTTCTGATGGGCTCAAGAGGGCTAAATTAGCCAAGTCTGCCAGCCTCTTGTGTAGAAAAATGAATAGTAGCAGTGTGCATAAAAACTTCCTTGCTGCTGCTTCCTTTTGCTGTTGAATCTTTAATGATCAGTTCACCAGGCTAGTTGTCATTATGAACTCAACCAGTTTTGGAATACTTTTCATTTTTAAGTTCTAAGTATCTGGAGTCTAGTAATTGCTGTTCTAAATGTATACACACACACACACATGCACTATTGAAAATGTTCAGCAGTTTTCTTAGACTAGTCATGCATAGCTTCAAATAGTATCAATGCAGTTAGAGGAAGGAGTGAATTAGCCATGAGAGGCACTGTGTTCGAATAGCACTGCCAAAGAAATAACACTCCACTGACAATGTGACAAAATGTGAGCTGTTAATTTCTATGTTTTTGTCACCGGCACCACTGGTACTGAAAATTAATCCTGGCTGCTGAAGATGGAGCACCTACAGGAATGTCTAGAGAGCTGTGATGGCAGTTCTTAACTCAACATTTTGAATTAACTACCCAACCAAGCGAAGTTACATCGACAGTACCTGAAAATGCCAAGCATTGACTCCAGCACTGCAAACTGTATGCTGCTAACTGAGAAGCATTCGGGTCAAACCTCTAACAAGATAAAGCACCCAGCTCACTAGCATAGTTGGTTAAACCTGACATTGCAGTGACAGGGTAAACTCCTTGTGGTCTGGGTTCACACCTGGGGGTAGGCAGAAAAGCCACATTTCTCACAGATTTACGGTATCTATCATGGAATCAAGGCCAAAGTGTTGCGATATCCATAGTATTGAGCCAAAGGGTTAACAACTTATGGTTTCTGGATTTAAAAAAAAATAAGACAAAGCTGTATGGTGCACAGGGAGATTTTGACTGCACGGCAATCTCCATCAAGGTTACTGGACTCCTGATAGAATTTTTCTGACATCAGGGAAGAGGAGGAGGAGAAAGACGAAGAAGAAGAAAAGTAGTAGTGCTGGCATTAATATATCTGCATAAGAATTTCAAACTGTCAGCAAATACAATTCAATTTGCAGTAGTTGTTACATTTTTTGCCCCAGAAAGAGAGTAATTTCCCTTTCCATTCATGCTTTTCGTGTTGCAGGGCTGTCCTATGTTGCAGAGGTGTCATGCTTAGTGAGCAGCCAGCAACATGATGTACTTTACTCGTCAGCGACCGGCGATATAGCATGTTCTATAATCCCCAATGTGAACACTTTTAGCGTCCCCAAAACATCTAGCCACTCCCCCGCCCTACAGCCTGAGCTTACATCCCACCAGAGTGTGTAGCCTACGTTCCACAAGAGAGTCCAGCCTGCGTACCATGACTGAATGCAGCCTATAATATACACTGCCTACAGTCATGGGACGTAGGCTGCATGCAGTCGTGGGACATAGGCTGAGGCTGTAGGGTAGCGGGGTTGTGGTTAGGGCCATTTCTATGGTTTGGGACCCTTAAAAGTGCTCACATTGTGGTATATAAAACAGTCAGTGACAACGAGTAAAATGCAAGGTGTTGTTGACAGCTCACCAAGCTTGACACCCCACAACATAGGACAGGCCCTCCGACACGATGAGGCATGAATGGGAAGGAAAGCGCTCTCTTTTTGAGAAAATTACTATGACCAAATTTGCTATAAAGTTAGCTGCGTATCCTTTACAGTACTTTACAGAACACATCCCAGCATCTTTTGGCTGTTTGTGATGTCACTAGGCAATGTTTACGTTCAGTAGTTGGTCACTGCTTTCTGCATGGTTGGCTCTCAACAGCCTTGTCGAAACCAATGCAATGCAGTCTGCTGCTAAATTGCCCGCAGCCGGGATCGAACTAGGCAACTCAGAATCACAAAGTGCATTCGCAATGCCTACGACACAGATGCCACACAAAAATGTGGTGTAAGCATATATCAGCAGGATGCTTCATCTTTCTTTCCTTTTTTCATAATGAAAGCAAGACTTCCTTTTCAGCAACAAAGAATACTTCATCAATATAAAAACACAAAAAGAACTATGCTTGATTACAACAAGTGAAATAAAAAAAAAAGCTACTATGGATGGGAGGATATTTTTTAACATTACCAGTAAGTAATACTTTATATATAGCAATTAATTATACTATCTTCACGTACAAATAGTTACACCAAATTACCTATACAAAAATAACTAAATTACTATTATATATGTGACTGGAAGGTACAAAAATGCAATGCTTATATAAACAAGATGAGCAATGTGAATGACATAAACATAGTAAGCACGTTAACTATATAAAAAAAATTATGAAAATGTGTAATCTTTTACCAACACCCCATTAGCATTATGCAGTTATGTTATTAATTTTCAAATCAGTGAATTTCAGAACACAACTTTAGACATATTGCATTTACAGAACAATAAACATTTCATCCAGTGATAAGATTACCACCATTACATATTACAAACTGCTACAAGAGGAATATTTCAAATTCTCTTGTACACATTTCCAAAAAGGAAACCAAATATTTAAAAAAACGATGAAATCGTTTAATTTCGCTTCTACTTTCTGCCCATCTGGCCGTAACTTGGACAGAGTAAATAAAAATCTGGTAAATGTGAGGCCGCAAGCACAATTTATTCCTGTGACATTTTCCCAAATTTAATTTAAAACAAAATATATCCTTATAATTTCATGAAAATCTACTCTAATAAACTAGGGGAAGAGATTAAGAAGCAGAAACAACTCGGGAGTCTTTGTCAGTTTTTATAAACTCAGCGGGTGAGGGGTGTCAAACCTGCAGACCACTAAGCAGACAGGAGAACATGAAGGCCACTGCTTTACTGCAGCCAACATATCGCTAAAATATAGATTTTTTCCATCATCATAATTCACGGACACCAGAGAAATGAATTTTTTAAACACAAAATAATCGCTAAATATAAACTGAGCAAAGAATTAATTTCTTTCCTCCCCTCTGACCACAATAAACGTTTTTGTTGTTGTTTAGACCTAGTAGCACCCTGCAAAGTAGGTAATTATGAAATTTCAAAAATATGTTTTTTTGCACCACATAATATCTCACTTTTGCTGCTGTTTATATATATAGGTTAGTACCAAAGATGGTGTATAGGCATAGTAGCTACTGCCAGAGGACTCACACCAGCAAAAACCTGTAAAGCACCCCCTCCCCCTGTTAAGTCTTTACATTCAACCAACTGAAACTATCACAGCCAACTATCATTAATGAGTATTAGCTCTACAACTGATATACAGATAAAACTCTACAACAGTGGCTCTCAACCTTCCTAATGCTATGACCCTTAAATATAGTTCCCTCACACTGTGGCAACCCCCAAACAATTATTTTCCTTTATAACTCAACAATTATGTGGTCTTAGGCAACCCCTGTAAAAGGGTCATTCCATTCTCTCCCCCCCCCCCCCCAAGGTTGGGAACCACTGCTTGACAATAAGATATATCAGATATATGCTGAGGAGATTCATCAAGCAGGTACTTCAATGAGGAAACAAACTGATGAAGAGATAAGGATACCCAAAAGAATTCCTAAGATGAACACTGATGAAACAGGTCAAGGGTCCTGGGCTGGATTTCACATTTTGATACTAAAACAACAGCAAAGTAAAGAAAAGAATGGCAGAACAGACGGCAAGCTCTATGTAACTCACAGTACACGTGTGTTATACTTAAGCTAAGCAAAGCATACAGGTGGAAGGATATGAGATATTACTCAGATCTTAACATTGCATTTAATCTTACAGTAAGTCACACACAGAAGACAGACAGCTCAGATGATGCCATGACAACATATTGTCTATTCAATGTGTCCTTCTTTTACCAGCTGTGTCATTATAAGACCGTACATTTGATTTTTCTGCTGACTTTATTTTGTTTGCCATTGCTCTGTTTGCTGGCCTCCATCTTTCTTGCACGAATCTCACGCATCAGGTCATAAAACACCTACCAGAAGAAAAAAAAAAAGCAGTTTTCAATCAGAGGTTTGTGGAAATCTCCGTCTCCTCCTCCTCCTTTGTGTTTACCAGCTGTAAACTCCATTGGCAGATTTACTGATGAGAGCGCTTATGGACCGAATGGTTCGCTGTGCAATGAGGATAATCTGTCGACTAACTATATAACAGTGAGGGATTTTTGTTGTCACTGAGTATGCAGAGAAGTTTACTGTTGGTAGCCCTAAGCCAACTTTATAAGGCTGGAGGTCCTTGGTAGCTGCTTCAGTATCTCAAACAAAAGCTGGTAACTGCTGGAGATGGTTTTCATGGCATTTCCTTGGTGGTTAAAAAAAAAAAAGTGTGTGCCACTCGTAACAAAGATTACTGGTTATTTCCGAAGGGTTTGTTCACAAGTTTTTCAAATATGACAGTGAGGGACATTTCATTTGATGTGCACTGGCACAGGAAGGGAGCAAGTCTGGGGAAACCCAATTGCAGTGAAGATGAAACCTCGACTAAGACTAAGAGTGACAACAATGTCTGACATCAGGGATGCATGTTGGCCACTGAGATGATTGAAATGACTAGTGACTCTCGCAAGAGCTGCTTGAAAGTGGTGAACTAGTTAACTAGTTTCTTCTGCTTAAGTCCTGAACTGTGCTGGCCGCCGGCCGATCCACCAGATCCGATCTAGGAAAATAGTGGTTTTTTTTAACCATAGGATTTCTTCTGTATGGTTATATGTGTACCTTCTCTACAAATATTACCTATTTTATCATGTATCCTTAACTCTTCCAGTAGGAGACGGCTGTTACTTTAACTTTTCTGTCTTAATTATTACTCTCTTCGAACTAATAAATGCTATGTTTAACCAAGGTCAATAACAGCCCTAATAAACAGATGGACTCAAGATACAAATGAGACTGAGTTTGATAATGTAAAAACTAGATGAGCCATAAGGCGGTAAGAAAACTACATCCTGTGAGGAGTTACTAAATACATGGTGAGGTGTTTGGTGCTGAAAGAGTTAGGGGTCCTCACAACTGGCCATTTGTTCAGTCAAGTCCAGGTATGAATATGAAGTGTTTTAACATGATAGAAACTAGACCAATGAATCGCCATTTCAGAGTTCTAACTTTTATAAAACATGAGACTGGAAAAGGTTCTAACATTAATGCAAGTATATAAATTGGTAGAAGCCGTGAGCGTTTACAGAGATGTGGTCAAATGTATTGATAGAGTGCAGGCCGGTGTCAAAGTAATGATGTAACAGTTCAATGCCACTTCTGAATCAAGTCTATGTACAGGTCATCCACTTACAGCCTTATTTACACAAAATTAGTTCCAGACCTACTAAGGATGGCTAGGCACATGAAGGTTTGCTACATACAATACTTTGAGTATGCTCAGGAAGATAGAGAAAGGCTGGGTCCGAAGACAGTGACTGTTGTTTCAGAGGTGGTCGGGGCTGACAAAGTTTCATATTCATGATAGGGCATGCAGGCATGCAAGGAAATGAGCAAGCCATGCTTGCAGTTATGGCTTCAGTGGAGGATGGATGAGCCATGGACCAGGCTGATATAATGAGACTTACTGCCCTATGAGAAGTAAGACATTAGCGAGAACTAAATGACTGTGAATCTGCAACTAAGACAAGAACTGCAAGAATAGTAAGTTAAAAGGGGTGGGGGCAGACAAGAGCACTATGCAGAAAGCCAAAGAAGAATAAGAAACCAACACAGAAATGGTATCTTCAGCCGTTACACACTGCTGCATTTACTGGGAAAGGAATCCCAGCACTTATAGACCAAATGGTTCAACGCACAATAAGGATAATCTGTTGACAAAAAAAAAATTTTTTTTTTACTTACCTTATCTACATTCACCCTAGTTTTTGCTGATGTTTCAACATAGTTAACTTTCCATTCTTGAGCTCTTTTAGTAGCCTCCTGCACACTAACCTGCCTCTGCTCAGCCAAATCTACCATGTTACCAACAAGTAAAAATGGAATGTTCTCATCATTTTTAACTCGTAGTATTTGTTCCCTGAAAAGCCAAAGATGTTCCATTAAAGATTCAGCAAGACAAGCAGACAATTTATAAGTACACATAATTTTTTTAGCACATGTGCTACCGAGGCCCTCAAGGGAAGCAAATAATAGTAAAACTACACCCTTTCCCCATGTGGGCCCATTGTGGGAGAAATCAAGAATAGACTGCCTCCCCAACAAGCAGGACATAGGAATCAACTAAGTCAAAGCATCCTTTGAAATCGAAGTACATCTGCAAGATAGGCAAGGAACCAAAAGTCTGCTTACAAATAAGCCAGAAGTGTAAAACAGATGCAACACCAAGGTTGTGGAACAAGACTAAAGTGTGGAGGTGAATGAACACCCAGAACTTTAAGCTAGAGTTTACAGCTGATGAACGTGAAGAAGAAGAAGAAGACTACACACTAAAGAGGCGACTTAGGAAAAGGTTGGGACTGGTGTTGGCTACTTCCTCCAATAAAAAAATTATTAAAAATAGCCACGAAAAACTAACCAACCATGAACAACAACAAAAATAACAATATTCAGCCAATCAAGATATGGGAGGTGCTTCTAATACAAGAATTAGAATGTCATATGGAGAAAGCTGAAAAGAATACGGACAACTGATGCATCTCCTTTCACCTAAGATAATCTCTAAATCAAATGTCAGACCTTTAGATAAATGGCAGGACCAAAAATATATAAAGAAGGGAACTAGAGAGTCAAGTTAAAAAGACAGGGAGGTCATAGGATGAACTGCATGTGACAGCAAATGATGGATTGACTTGCGTGGGTTGGTTGAGGGCCTCTTCTCCATTGGGGGATGAAGGTCAGAAGAAGAATTCCTTTGGGAGCTGTGGTAGTGATGTACCTAGCCTGCTTGCTCAGTTTTCATGTTTTCGAATCTTAGGAATTCATCATCATCATCAGTTCTCGTTTGCCTAGTGGCACATGAGGCTTCAGAGAGAACTTTCCATGTTCCTTCCTGTGAATCTTCATGCAGTTTTTCCATGCAATGCTGCACTCAGGTCACTTTCCATCGTTCGTCTCCATGTTGTTTTTGGGCGCCCCTGTTTTCTCTTTCCCTCTGGTGTCCATGTGAGAGCTGTTTTGGCAGGTATATCAGAAGTCATTCTCATAACGTGGCCAAGCCAATTCCATCTTCTCTTGGTAATCATACTGTCTAAAGTTTCTTGGTTTGTGGTTTGAAGTAGTTATTGTTTGAGATTGTATCTGGCCAGAAAATTTTGATAATTCTACGTAGACATGTGTGGAATCTCAGGAATTACTTTTTATTAACTGACTTGGACTCCATGGATGACAAGCCTAAAACTGTAACAGGAAATGAACTGGGAAGTAAAGCATGATAGTGACTGAGCAGATTCTCATCTGATGCCAATATGTCGATACAAATAGGAGCTTGCATTATACATCCATATACCCCACAGCGTAGAAAAAGTTCTCTACTTTTTCTTTCTTTTTACAACCCATCATTTAGTTTTTCTTCCCTTTATTGCAATCCTGTGACCATTTCGTCGACTTTCTTTTGGTGACTGGAGAGAGAAGAGAAGTGTGACATGAAATGACATGACACCTAGACAACAGACCTAGTGTTGAATCTGCACGAGGAAGACTAAGTGCGGAGGAGACACATTACACAGTTCAACCTTTCATACCTGAAATCTTGTGTTGCTTGAAAGGATTCCTGTTCTTTAATGGAAAAAACACAGAGAAAACCCTCTCCGCTCCTGAAATAGTTGTCTCGAATTGCTGCGTAATCTTCTTGTCCGGCTGTATCCAGAATATCTATCTGAACTTCCTCACCATCCAGGACAACTTTTTTACGGTAGGAGTCTGCTTTTGTTGGTTCATAGTCTTCCACAAACTGAAAAGTAATTGTTAAAATAAAGTAGCAGTATAACGTGCTACAGTACATGATGAAGAATGTGGTAAAGTAATGCACAATTAGAGCTCTTCTTCTTCTTAGAGCTCAATGGCTATACATTTTTTTCGATCTTAGTTTTAAAACTTGAGTTTTGCATGCACATCAGTTTTACAGATCTGGTTTATTTGCATGCAGACAGTCGGTTCCTTGCCTCTTGGGCAGATGCATTCGACTTTGAAGGAAACACCCCTAGCTAGTCGCCTTCTGCGACATAATTGTTAGGGGGGCAGTGGTCTATTATTTGTTCTCCAAAATAAAGGCCAGATACCCACGCGGGAAAATTAGAACCCAAAAGAGATACAGTGAGGTTCAGTGCCCGATGTGTAGCACTAGCCATTTTATTTCATGGGGATGTATAATGTATTTAATGTCATCAATTCATCTTCTTCCTGGGTGCCCTCTTGTTCACACAGAAATTTTCTTTAGGTGCAAATTCTGTGTTGGCAGACGTTGTGGCTGCATCATAGTGAGATGACAAGAAATGATTCCATTTCTCAATGAATTCATCTGATGCAAAGGTGTTGTTTCCAAATCTGTCTGAAAGTATCATTTATCTTCGATGTAGTAGCTTACTTACTTAGTCACTCCTCTTCTATCTTGGGGTGTAGAGGTTTGCCAAACTTCTCTATCAGCAGTTTTCTTTCTGGCTTTGTTCCATTCCAGTCCTCTGTCAGTTAGGGATTGTTGGATGTTGTGTTCCCAGCGGACTTGAGGTCTGGTTCCCCGGTTCTTAGCCTCCCATGTCTGCCGATTTTCTCCTATTCTGCATACATATCCAAACCATCATAACTGTGACTGATCCACTCTGGTTTTTAAGGAATGGGTCTCAAGATCTTGATGTATCATCTGACTGTGGACTTTGTCCCTTCTTGTCACTTGGAAAACCTTTCTCAGATATCTTGTTTCTGAGGCATGAAGCTGGCTTCTGTGAGTTGTTGTCATTGCCCATGACTCACACCAAAAGCTCAGGACTGGCTCATAGGTATAGCGGTAAACAGTCATTTGCATCCTCTTGCCAATTTCTCTTTTGCTAAGCTCTCGGTTTATGGCCCGGAAGAGTCTCCCAGCAGCTGCTCTTCATGTAGCCAGCTCAGTCTTAATGCCTCAGTTTCTGTCTAATACGGAGGTAGTAGTCACAAAACAATTCTAGATTTTGTTCACAGTGTTTAATTTGAGTAATGGAAACAGCTGATTAGTTTGGTCAACACTGAAAAATTATGGGTCTCCATGGTGAAGAATTTTGCCACCTGCTATGAAGGAATTCTTTTTTGGATTTCATTCTTTGTTTGTAAGTACAGTTTTTCAGAGATCTCTAGGGGCCATGGAGTTTGTGCACTGAGAAATGCTCTCGCGGGCAAACTGAGTAGAGAGAGACGACCATATGGAATAAAATCCTACGGTGGAATTAAGTTAATCTGTTCACCTTTAAACACTTTTTTTCAATTTTATAAGGACTGGATTCTTTTTAGCATTCACCGGCTGTAAACTCTGGGGGAAAGTTCTGGTTGTTCATCCAATTATGGACTTTGGTCTAGTTCCAGAACTTGAAATTGGCCGCGTATTTTTGTTTTACATGCTTGTTTGGGGGGGTGGGGCAATAGGTCTATTCTTATTCCCGCAAAAAATGAACCCACACAAGGAGAATTGGATTCAATATAGCCGAAGATAAATAATCAAAAATAGGCTTTTGCCTATCCTTTAATGAAAGCTGAAAACCAACTCCTACATCTGTTGGCTGTTTTTAACTAGACAATTTTTACATGTAGTAATTTGCCATTGCTTTCTAAGCAGTTTTTCACTCACATTGACGCTGAAATAAGTGCAAAAGGTCTGCTACCAAATCTTATGTAGCTGACTTGAACCCAGTATGTCCAAAATATTGAACTGTTGATAGCCATTATGCTAGAAATGTTAACTGATTTCACAAAATAACCATTAAGCTAGAAATGTTAACTGATTTCACAAATAACCATTAAGCTAGAAATGTTAACTGATTTCACAAAATAACCATTAAGCTAGAAATGTTAACTGATTTCACAAAATAACCATTAAGCTAGAAATGTTGACTTGATTTCACAAACTCTGTTATTTATTGGGAGTTTACATGGTTTGTGTGACGTTCTCGGCCGGAGGCTAGCCGTTCTGTGGAGACAAAATGGGATACAACCTGGTGCAATTAAGTCGATCCTCTCAAATTTAACTCGGTCAGTCACACACGTACAAATGGAGCACGCCTAGTGTCATATCAGGAATTAATCTGGTCTGTTACTCACCTCATCGTACATAAACTCACCTCATCGTACATAAACTCACCTCATCGTACCTAAACTCACCTCATCGTACCTAAACTCACCTCATCGTACATAAACTCACCTCATCGTACATAAACTCACCTCATCGTACATAAACTCACCTCATCGTACATAAACTCACCTCATCGTACATAAACTGAAGAGTTAGAGCAGATTTCCCCACACCTCCACTGCCCACCATTATAACTTTATGGATTACAGTGGGCTGGTGAGTCTTGGCCTTTGACATGGTGTTTGAAAAGTAGCTGGAAAATACAGATGGCATTAGGGTGGTTAATTCTTTGTTTGAGATAAGAAAGAGAGTTCATAAGTGCTAAACAGAGCCAATGGTAATGTATGGAAGTGAAGAATGGACAGTCAATCGATGAGTCAGAAACAATGCAGAGGGTTGTGGATAGACATGACTACCACTGTCATATGGCTTGGACTATAAGAAGAAGAATGAAGAAGCTACTAAGATATGGTTTTACAGAAAAACACTGTCCCAAATACAAGATACCAAGGCAAAACATTTGGCCAAGAGAGACACCGGTGCAAACAAAACTTTATGGATCACTGAGTGAATTAGAACAGACAGTGAAGTGAATTAGAACAGACAGTGAAGTGAATTAGAACAGACAGTGAAGTGAATTAGAACAGACAGTGAAGTGAATTAGAACAGACAGTGAAGTGAATTAGAACAGACAGTGAAGTGAATTAGAACAGACAGTGAAGTTCATACTAGAGACAACACTGCAGATATCAGCCTGTTGCAGAACCAACCCCAGCATTTTTTGGCTGTTGTGGTTTTTCTAGGCAAATTTACATCCAATAGTTTGCCACTGCTTTCTGGATAGTCAGTTTCTCGATACCACTGTCGAAACCAAAGCAGGTTACGGAATCTACATAGGTTACCCTGATGGATCTATTGAAGAGATATTTGATGCATGCGGAGAATTCTGCTCAAATTATGAAGCTGAAATAATTGCACTGGAAACAGCAGTATACCACCTAAAGACTGTAATGGATGTTAATCCTTCAAAAGCCCAAAATATTGTCATTTTCACTAATTCAATGTCTGCTCTTTAAGCTCTGGAGGGCAGTGAACGCTGCAGAACTGACATAGCTGACTTTACCTTTACCTTCTATATCCAATTAATAACCCTGAGGGTTGATCAGGACTATTTTTGTAAAAATGACTACCAGTACATGCAACAGACTTTGAGAAAGAGAAAGAACAACGAAAGTTTTCAAGAGGGATTGGCAGAATGAAAAATAACATCTGAGGCCAGATTTTAAACAATCAGTAAACAAAAACAGACCCACAGCCCCTAATAAGTAAGTCGTACAAATTATTAACAGTAGTTTTCTGCCATAGGATGTTTTAAACTTTAAGGTGCAAATATCCAAGCCTAGCTGTAACATAATGAGTGAGAGCAGAAGAATAAGAAGAAAATCACAGATGACATGAGAGAATGAAAATTAAGACAAGAGGAAAAATGTCTGACATGGGAGAATGAAAATTAAGACAAGAGGACAAATGTCTGACATGGGAGAATGAAAATTAAGACAAGAGGACAAATGTCTGACATGGGAGAATGAAAATTAAGACAAGAGGAAAAATGTCTGACATGGGAGAATGAAAATTAAGACAAGAGGAAAAATGTCTGACATGGAAGAATGAAAATTAATTCAAGAGGAAACAGGTTTGACATGGGAGAATGAAAATTAATACAAGAGGAAACAGGTTTGTAAAGATGTGTGAATCTGCATTCTAAATGATAAGACAATGATGATAATTAGTAATACATTAATAAGATGTTACATCCTGTGTCTAAAACTGCTCATATTTAAGTGGGTTACAATGATTAAGACTTGGTTTATTACTGTAGTTTCCTTAGAAATGTGGACAATCTATAAATAGCATTTGGAATAATTTACAACTTGGTTTCTTAATCCTGATTCATAAGGCATGGAGAAACAATGACAAATGATTGTTTCATTAACTACCAGTATTTGTATTTCACCAAAAGGCTTTTGAATATGTTAGCAGAGATGGCCTGTTCAAGATCCTAGCTAAATACGGGTTGCCCAATCATACTACTGTGCCTCATCAAATCTCTATGAGAATATGAAAGGAGCTGTCATATATGAAGACTCATCATCGTCACCATTACAGACTCATTATGGTGTGAAGCAGGGTTGCATTCTTGCTTCTACACTGTCTGCCATCTTCTTCACTGCCCTGCTTCGGAGTGTTTTCGGAATAACCACTGAAGGAATATGTTTCTGTCCGAGGTCAGACTGCAACCTTTTCAATCTGTCCAGACTTTGTGCAAGGAATAAGGGGCATACAAGATGCCTCAGGGACTTTCTATTTGAGGATGATGCAGCTATTAGCGCACATACTGAAAAAGATCTGCAAAATTCTTATGAACCGCTTTTGCAATTGCATGCAAACAATTTGGACTGACTATCATTCTCAACAAAACGCAAGCGATGGGGATGAATACGATAAAAAAACAACACGGTAGCGTTTATGACCATGTCATGAGCTGTTGGTTGTAAATTATTTTGAATAATTCGGCTCCTGAATCTCAGTCAATCTTTCCCTAGATGCACACCTTATATCGAAAACATAATGCACTAAAATAATATACACTTGTGGTAAAACAAATAATATCATCCACCCAAAACTCAAACTGGACGTACATTTGAAGTTAGTGAGCAGCCGCAACTTGTCGGAGACCATACATTGGAGCCCGGGAAACACACAGAAACTTTTAGGTTCAGATTACTGATAATTTGTCAGCTCTATCTATCCACATATATTATACGACTGGCTGAAGTACGATATTATGACCACGTCACTGCAGTTTTTTTTTTTGTTTCCCCCTTTCTTCGTCAGTCAGGTAAATCTAACGGTAAGCCACAGTAAGAATAATTGCTGTCTGCTCCTCTCCCTGACTGGAAATGGCGATAACTGCCCAAGGTGTGATGGGATTGATGACGTCACCGTGACCCTGCGTAGTGACCCCAGCTGGGAAGTGCCATTACAATGCTTCAGATGCAAATTTACGCATAACTCGGGATGTTTTCTCGACAAAATGGATATTTTAACGGACTGCGTGGTTAATACTTAGTCGTGTGTGTGGTTATTGTTGGAAACGTTTCAGTGACAATGTCCCTGTCTAGCCGTGCACTCACAATTTACCAGAGAGACAAGCCACTACCAGAGGCCGCTGAGGATTGTTGAGTGCACAATCAAAGATGGCAGCTGAAACTGGGATACCCTCTGTTTATTTGGAACACCAATTATCGCACGGTAATTACATTGCTTTCTCAAAACCCCAAGTCTGGCTTTCGCATTCTGTCATAATATGATTTTTACTAGTTTGACCATCACATCACTGCTTGTGAAATTGTCTCATCATTGGGATTACCAGAATTATTTTCTTTTAAATGCTTGTATTTTTCCACGAATTTTAATCAAATGACACTTAAGTGTCTTAAGTTAGTTATTAATAATAATAATAATAATATATTTTGTTCATTGTTATTTTTTTCACTATGAATGAAATGGCATCAGATAACTAATTTAACTGCTCACAGAGAGCCTATTAAAAAAAATAACTATTAACAGCCTTAGTAAGTTAGTTTGTGTTGGTTCATAATATAATAAGTACTAGTACGTCTATTTATTTCTATTGTCTAATTTTTTTCTGTTTCATGTAATTACTAATTGTATTGTATTTTTATTTGTTTGGCAATGACATTGTTTGAAACAGCCTCTCCCCCTATCCCAAATAGAGTATCCAGTATTACTGTTGCATTAACATGATTTTTATCTTGCTCATTTATGTTATGATTATAATGTCATAAACGTAAAAATTATACAAATTTGCTTGAGCTAACCAGTAGTGAGCAGCTTAAAAAAAAATCAAAACTTAAAAAAAATACAAAGTAGCCCTATTATAAGCAGACTTGAAAAAAGTGAAGTGTATATATATATATATAGCCCTATTATGAGGACAGACTTAACTTAAATATGTGAAGTGTATATATATTAAGTAAATTGTTAGCATTTACAGAAGCAGTATAGTCTGAACCACAGCATAGATAAATTAGTAGCTAGCAATATAGTAATAAATACCTAATAATAGCAGTATCTGCCAACAGCAAGAAGTAGCCTGTTTTGGCAGAACGTGGTTTTTTTAATGTAATTGTGTGTGCAACTACTGATCTGTTATAACTACACCTTCCATCAAGATGAACTCAACTGCATTTCTTATGTCAATAGACTGTAAGGGTTGACAATCCTCATGGCTGCCTTTTGCATTTAATGTGTGTGTATGATATCAGCTTTTCTGAGACTGCCCTTTTAACCATCTAGGACAACTTTTTTTTATGGTAGAAGTCTGCTTTAGTTAGTTAATAGTCTTCCACCAACTGAAAAGTAATTTTAAAAATAAAGCAGCAGTATACCATGCTAGAGTACATGATGAAGGGGAGAGCTGAGCTAAGCTGCATTCAATAGCAAAGGGTATGCCAGGCTCGACATGAGTTGGCTGAAAGCGTGTGCTCCATTTGGGGGGGGGGGGGGGGTGGAATAGAGGGCAGAAGAAGAATATTGTGCCACCCAACACTTGAGCTGTGATATTGTCAGTATTACCTTCAGTTACCTTTGCTTGCCAGAAAGGTATGATGTTGTCAGTATTACCCTCAGTTACCTTTACTTGCCAAATAGGTGTGATGTTGTCAGTATTACCCTCAGTTACCTTTACTTGTCAGAAAGGTGTAATGTCAGTAGTACCCATAGTTACCTTTACTTGCCAGAAAGATGTGATGTTGTCAGTATTACCCTTAGTTACCTTTACTTGCCAGAAAGATGTGATGTTGTCAGTATTACCCTTAGTTACCTTTACTTGCCAGAAAGTTGTGATGTTGTCAGTAGTACCCTTAGTTACCTTTACTTGTCAGAAAGATGTGATGTTGTTAGTATTACCCTTAGTTACCTTTACTTGCCAGAAAGATGTGATGTTGTCAGTATTACCCTTAGTTACCTTTACTTGCCAAAAAGATGTGATGTTGTCAGTATTACCCTTAGTTACCTTTACTTGCCAGAAAGGTGTGATGTTGTCAGTAGTACCCTTAGTTACCTTTACTTGCCAGAAAGATGTGATGTTGTCAGTATTACCCTCAGTTACCTTTACTTGCCAGAAAGATGTGATGTTGTCAGTAGTACCCTTAGTTACCTTTACTTGCCAGAAAGGTGTGATGTCAGTAATACCCTCAGTTGCCTTTAGTTGCCAGGAAGGTGTGCTGTTGTCAGTATTAACCTGTTACTTTTACTTGCCAGGAAGGTGTGCTGTTGTCAGTATTACCCTCAGTTTTACTTGCCAGAAAATATCTTGGTATCTCTTATAGGCTAGCTTGACCTTGGAGCCTAAGTCAGTGATCTAAAAGACCTGCCTTGAAAATTATTCAGACACGCAACTGGAGGTTTTTAACCTGCATAATTTTGACATTGGGTCTTCTGTTTTTGTGTGTTTCATTCTTATCCTGAAAGGTCAACCATTTGATCCACTTTCTTTAGATCATTAGGATGATTAACATCTCTGAGACCTTATGTTTTTCCTTCCACAGTATGATGCTTCATAACTGTGTAGTTACTTATTGATCTGAATGCTTTTATATAATGGTATATTATTTAGTGTGTACATTAGTGACACATTTTATTTTCTTTGTTCCTACTTTACATGAAGAGGAATAAAGGTGTTGCATATATTGTATACTTTTTGTTCCTACTTTACATGTAGAGGGATTTAAGGTGTTGCATATATTGTATACTAACACCCACAGTCAGTTTGTCATATCACAGGCAGAGACATCCATACTTGATTCAAAGCTTATTTAAAGATTATGTCAGAGTAGACCACATCATAAGTGTCTGGGAAGTTGGTGGTTTGCTACTGCAGTATCTGATTGGCAGCTACCGTATCTACTGAATCACCATTGATTATTGACCTGTTGGTTCTTTTTATTTTGTCAAAATCCCTTGTGCCGCTAGGCATCGCAGTCTATCAGATGATCGGCAACCGAGCCAGGGCGCGCTCAGTCGCTTCATATGCCGTGATGTTATGAAGTCTCAAGTTGTCCGTGACTCCTTCAATCCATATTCTTCTTGGTCTTCCCCTGCCTCTTGGTGTTTCGATTTTCATGTTGTATGCTCTTGATGCTGGCATCGTTGGTTCCATTCTCATGAGGTGACCAAACCATTTAATTCTTTGCTTCTCAATAAATTTAACGATAGGTATGGTTCCAATAGTTCTTGTAATCACATCGTTTCTCACTCGATCTCTTCTGGTTTTATTCGCAGCCATTCTCAAGCATCTCATTTCACAGGTGGTTAGTCTTCTCTCGTGTTCTTTTGTTAATGTCCAAGTCTGACATTGATAACCTAATGTCGGTATAAAGATTGTATTTATAATTTGTTTTTTATCTCAGCTGGGACAGTATGGTGTTTTAAAACTGGGGCAAGCTGGTATGCGACATTGTTGGCTTGTTGGATTCTTGCTTCGATCTCTCTGTCTATTTTACCATTGAATGTAAAGATACTTCCCAAGTATTTAAATTCTTGCACTTGTTTTAGGCTGTGATCTAGAATCTTTATGTCGATGGTCTGTTGCTCTCTACTTATGCTCATGACTTCTGTCTTTTCAGTATTGATCTTCATATGATGCTTGAGGCAACTGTCGTGTAGTAGGTTTATGTGGTCTTGCAGCTGTTTACTATCACTGTGAAATATGCATTGATCGTCGGCAAAGAGCAGCTCATTGAAGTCCTCCTGTTTATCTACATCTGTTGGTGTTGTGTCTATTTTATTAATATTGTCCATAAATATTATGAAAAGTAAAGGTGATAATACACAACCTTGTCTTACACCTGATGTTACTGGGAACCAGTCTGTGATGCCAGCTCTTGTTCTAATGGCGCTTTCACTTAGTCTATAAATAGCCCTAACACAATCTAAAATTGTTCCATTTATACTGTAGTTTTCAAGAACTTTCCATAATAAATTTCTGTTTACTCTATCGAAAGCTTTTTCTTGATCTATGAAAGCGATGTTCATTTGATGTCTGTGTTCTATTGTCTTTTCGCTAACTTGTCTTAAAGCAAAAATAGCGTCAGTACACCCTCTTCCTTTCCTAAATCCGACCTGTGGTGGGCTCAGGATCGGTTCTACAACGGATCTAATTCGTTGTTCCAGAATTTTGGCAAACATTTTTCCTACGTGGCTTAGAAGGGAGATGCCTCTGTAATTGTTACAATCTTGCTTATTGCCTTTTCTTTTCCAAATTGGGGCTATAAGGGCTCTTTGCCAGTCTATTGGTACAGTTCTTTCATTCCAGGCTTTCCTAAATATGTGGAGTAACCAGGTGACTCCAATTTCTCCACAAGCCTGTATTGCCTTGGCTGATATTCCATCAACACCTGATGCCTTATTTTTGGGACTGCATCTGATTGCTTCTCTTTCTTGTTCAATTATTGTAGGCTGTTCCTCGTTTGTACATCTGGGTGTGAATGGTACTGTTTCCTCATTTCCTGTTACATTCAGAAGAGTCTGAAAATATTCTTTCCACCTTTCTCTGATCTTGCCCTCCTCATGTATGGGTTTGCCTTGACTATCATTGACATATTCAGATGGCTGGAATGGTTCATCTCTAGTTCTCATTTTTGCAATGGTTTTGTAAAACTGTCTACTAGATTTAGCACAGATTTTGGTAAGATTTTTCCCATACATGATCCAGGATGTTTCCTTGGATTGTTTAATTTCTCTTGCAGATTGTCGCCTGGCAATTCTGTACTTGATATAATCGTCATCTGAGCGGGATCTTAGCCATTTCTTGTATTGCTCCTTTTTACATTTCACTGCTTGTTTTACGTTATCATTCCACCATGCTGTTTTTTTCCTGAACGTTTCTCCTGTGTATTTAATACCACAGAGTGTTGTTAGGCAGTTCAGAAGAGTGTTCTTAAATTTTTGCCACACCAAATTTTTGCCTGTTGGTTATTGGTGCATAATAAAGGTGGTTCCCTAACACAAATTGTAAATGTTAAGGGTGGCCTCTCCTACATTTTATAGATTTGGGTAAGCTAGGCATGAATGATACAGGTCTTGAGGTGGGTTATTAAGAACATGATGCTATGGGCCATGTTGCACGGAGAGGTGAAATGTGTAAGGGAATAGGAATGAAGGTAAAGAGGGTTGCAGATAGGCTAAAAGCTGAGCATCTGTGAAAAAGCAGGTTGAATACATGCTATGACAACAAAGGTCCTGGTATCCCACACTCTAATTGTGAAAATATCATTGAAAGATATGAAACCGAATGAAAGGTAGATCAGCGATCTTCACAATATAGAAAAAATCCAACGAAATGTGAACGTTGCACTAAAGAGCTTGATCAGCACATACATAAACAAAACCACAAGAATGTACAAAATCACTTATCTGACATATCCCAAAGCAGCCACGTTGATGTCTTGCCAGTGGAATGAAGAGGCACATGTAGCCCCAGAATAAATAACCCCGGAAATTCCAATGGTTGTAACTCAAGAATTTTAGATAAAACTGTTGACAGTTCATTCCCCTTGGTGTTTGGGTCCCCATGGTGAAAAAAAAAAGAGTAATTCTCAAGAGACTTGTTGACTTTGTCGCTGGAGTGGCTAGATTAATGGCTGTCACCTCCATGTTGTGGACACCTTGGTGTTGCTGAGAATCCAAATGTGAAAGACTTTTATTTTAAATGTGAGCAGGTTTTGCTAGTCACACTTGCTATCATCATTGGCTGTGATTGTTATGCCTCTTTAGTTTGGCACTATCATTTAGAAAGATGAACCAGTGCCAGCATAGCAGATATTGCTTTTAGAGTGTTCATTATTAGACATTGACATATTTTAGACCAAGGCTAATGGGGTGGGATAGTTAGTTCTTGTCCATGTCACTGTTCTTTCTTGATGAAATTCTGTGTATCATTTCTGCTTTACTCTTAATGTATCATTTATGCTTCCTATTGAGTATATCATTTCTTTTTCCCGCTAAGTGTATCAAATCTTCTTCTCTGTGTCTCATGTCAGATCATTTGTGTCACACTGAGTGTATCATTTGTTCTTCCCATATATTTCTGCTTCCCACAAGGTATAATTTCAGCTTTCAGCAATGTGTCATCTCTGCTTCCCACAGTGTATCATTTCTGCTTCCCATAATGCGTCATTTCTGTTTCCCACAGTGTATCATTACTGCTTCCCATAGTGCATCATTTCTGTTTCCCACAGTGCATCATTTCTGCTTTCCACAGTGCATCATTTCTTCTTCACACAGTGTATAATTGCTGCTTCCCACAGTGAACAATTTATGTTTCCCGCAGTGCATCATTTATTTTCTAAGTGTAACATTTCTGCTTGCCACTGAGTATCATTTCTGCTTTCCACAGAGTGCATAATTTCTGCTTACCTTTGAGTGTATTGTTTCAGCTTTTCTCTGAGTATATTATTTCAGCTTTACTCTAAGTGTATCATTTCTGCTTTCCTCTGAATGTATCATTTCTGCTTTTCTCTGTGGAGTATTACATTCACTTTCATATGAGTGCACCAGTATATCATTTCAACTTTCCTATGATGGTTGCAGGGTTGTATCTGCTTTCCCTCAGTACCTCACTTCTGCTGTACCCTGAGTGCACCATTTATTCCCCACTCAGCGTATGTCTCTGTCCCATTAAATGTATAATTGCTAATTATTAGTTATATCTTTGTATAGAGTATTTGTGCAGAAGGGGTTGGGAGGGGGGATTAGAACAGAGTTAAAGATAACAATTATGATTTTGCATTTTGATTTATCCTTTAACTAAAAGTAGGTAACTGAACTAGTCTGCAAATCAATGTGATTGTATTAATACATATTGTTAGTTGTTCAACGGTTATTTATTGGCTGGAGTGAAATAGATGTGTGTATAAAAAGAACGGAATGTTTATATATGCTCATACCTGTGTGCGACAATGAGGAATATTATTGATAGAAAAAACAAGAGAAGATTTTTAGAAGCTTTTCACCAGTCCTGAGTTGTCAACACACATAATTTTCACATACTGTTTGATTGGCGTTCGTTAAGGCATTTGGTGACCAGATCTATACCTGCATGTTCATGCTGGTATTTTATAGTTGTAATTGAACTGCTTAGTAGTCATCATTATTAAGAATAATTCAAATTAATTTGTTTTTGTTTTTTTTTGTACCCTCAGGTCGAGCCCCAAAGAAAACTCAGGGATCAGTAATTGAGAAGCTTCGTCACAGAAATTCCCAGACGCGGTCATGGAGTGACAGTATAAAGTCTGTGCGGAGTTTTGTGACGGTATGTTGTTTCCTTTTCTAATAATATAAGAATCTTGATGTTGTTGAGAGAGAATAATACAAGCTTCATGATGTGTTGAAAGAGACTAAGACGAGTATCTTGTTGTTGTGAAGAGAGAATAATACAAGCTTCATGATGTGTTGAAAGAGACTAAGACCACATATCTTGTTGTGGAGAGAGAATAAGACACGTAACTTGATGTTGTTGAAGGAGAATAATTCAAGAATCTTGACTTTGTTGAGAGAGACCAAAGGGGCTGAAGTGGATTTCTATCCATGATATGAAAAGGATAGAACCGACTAAAGGACTAGACTGCAAGCCCTGTTTGACATCTAATTTCACCAGAAGAAGCTGATTAAAAAAAAAAGTAGTAGTATGTCCTTTACAGAAGATTGCAGAAACAACCACTGTATTTTTGGCCTTTGATTTTACTAGTAAGTAAAGTAAAGGACCCTTTCCACGCCTTTAGGCGTATAGGGCATATAGGGCTAGACCTATATTTTTATAGACCAACGGCACAAGATGGGTGATGTGGTCAGCATCACGCCGGCCGCCTCTACTTCCCGGGATTGCACCCGGTACCCACTCAAGGCTGGGTCGACCTGGGAGCCAAGGTCATTTTTGAAGAAAAGTCCGATCCGCGGCGAGCGTGATTTTACTAGGAAATATTATATTTTGCCACAGAGACTGAGGCCGGCCTTTGCGAACTTGGATACGCGACACTGAAGATGCAAAGTTCTGATGAATGGGGCGAGAGAGAGAGAGAGACTTTCAGGCATGTCTCACAAGGGTGATGTTCAGTAAAAAATCTGCTGATTCATGATGATGATGATGATTTTGAAATTGCTTTCTGAAAGATTGCTGTTCAATGCCATTGTTTGAAATCAGCACAGAGTGGTCTGCTGCAAAACTGTTTGACCATAGTTGCACTATGGCATTGTGGTGTCTCAAACCTAGCAGCTCTGTCCATCAGGGAACATGAAAGATAGTATCAGACAGGCCTACTCGTGAGGAGCAACGCTGCTAAAACCTGCCCTGTACCCTGGGAGCGAGTCAGCAACACAATATAAATAATATCCCCGTGTGGGTTCCGGGGCCCCATTGTGGGGAAAACAAGAATAGACCCACTGCCTCCCCAAAAGCGAGCTTCCTTTGAAGTCGGAGTGCATCTGCCTGAGAGGCAAGGAACCAACAGTCTGCATTTAAGTGAATCAGATATGTAAAACTGATGCACATGCAACACTCAGGTTCTGGAGCAGGACTGCGGTCCAGAAGTGGACGAACAACCAGAACTTTCCGCCAGAGTGTGCAAATAATGACTTCAGTCAGTCAAGTGACTTTCAAAAATGATCAGCTGCTCTTTGTATTACAGTAGAGTCTGGAGATTCGCAGGGACCTAAGAAAATGCTTCCACTTATCAGGATTTCTACTTATCCAGACAGCACACACAATAAAGACAATTGCTGCGACTAAGCTGGTCATGTTGACTTAACCGAAATTCGACTTAAGTGGACTCGATTGTATCCAGAAAAACTATCCTGAACAGTCATTGCTACATGCTTACAGAGATGAATCAGCAACTGGTGCAGAAATAGGGGTGCTGGCGTCTTTATCACATATCCAGATAACCACCGCCACACAAAGTATATACCCACTGGTAAATTCACTTCCAGCTAGCTATACGGTCAGAGATCCTAGCACTAGAGCAAGATGCCGAAATGTTACACAACAATAGTTCTGACTGCCATCAAGTGGTCATCTTTACAGATATATTGTCACTGCTACTAGCCCTCAGGATTGGTAAGCTCCCTCACGCCAGAGCTGAACCTAACAAAATGGCTGTCAAAAAAAAAGCATACTCTACTCCAGTGGGTGCCGTCCCACTGTGTACCAGGAAATGAAACTGCAGATGAACTTGCTAAGAAAGGTTGAGAAGGTGAACAGGAAGGCAATGAAATAACATATGTTGGGGAGGAATAAGGACCACATAGTCTTAACAGAAGTGAGTAGAACGAGGTCACTGAGGACTGCCATGTATTTGAACGTATGAACAAGTCATCATTCTACGCCTCAGGACAGGGCGTAACAGACATGTGTACAGGCTTTGTCTGAGTAGTTCACCATTGTGCCCATGTGAGCTGTGTGCACACCACAGAAACATTTCCTGCAAGGCTGTCCTTTGTATAGCCCATTTAGAATGGAATACTGGCCTATGAGTTAATACTATACTCAAGAGTTGTATGGAACTAAAGAAGACCTCCAAAAAACTCAATTTAAATCACAAGAACCCATCATTCAGTGTAAATCAAGGAAGCGATCACAAGAACCCATCAATCAGTGTAAATCAAGGTAGCGATCACAAGACGATAAATAAAGAGATGGTAGCTATTTTCGGCTGGATTGATGCAGGAGGCAAGGTAGTTTAAAAAATCCCTAGCTCGACACAAACATATAGGCACACATAAAGTGTCAGCACTGTGGCATGTCCTTTCATTAGTCTGTAATTTATATTGAAAAGGGTGGCTGAAACTAAATGTCAGTGTTAACAGTTAGGCGACACAAGCAATATCTATAGCCTGTGTAGTTTAAGCATACACACACTTAAATCCTCATTAGTGCTTCAGAGTTTTTGTATTATGTTGAGGTCTCTTTGTGTGGTTTCTGTTGGTACACTAAAGCACATGTGGAGATATCAACTTGTCGTGCAGGTGGTCAGTTCGCAACTAAATCATCCAGATGACAGTGGTATGGTTTTATATTGTTGAGGGGTAAACAGTTGTCTTTTTCTTATTGCAGGAACGAAGAACACAGCCAGAGAAAACAGAAGCTTCTGGAGTACAGCAGTGCTTGGATACTTTACAGAAAGCCATGAAAGGTTGGTAGAACTTGCAGCTGTGGGTACTAGGACCCCTGTAGGGGGTCAGGGGGTAGTTGGAGGAGAATAGGCTCACTGCCCCTTAAGATCAGAACAAGTCATTATCCTTCACCTCGGAACAGGGCACAACTGATCAAACAGCTACATGTACACAAAGTTCAAGGTAGGCGTATCAGCCATGTGTGGAAAGTTGCCAGTCATTATCTTTTGCCTCAGAACAGAGCACAACCGAATACGCAACTACGTGTATACAAAATTCAAGGCAGGTGTATCAGCAATGTGCACATGTGAGAAGTTGCTCCAGACAGCAAAACGTGTACTCCAGGACTGCACTGAATATGACACAGGAAGTCAAACTTTTTGGCCAGAAAGAACAAGAACATAATCTCTATGGACCACGGAATGAACAAAACGACAGTGAAATTTTATACAAGAGACAAAATTGTTGAAATAGGCAACTTATTTTCAGGTGAAATTTCTCCACTACTATTCAGTAATTCACCTCATATGTCAACCACATTTGCAAATCAGCTTACACCAGCAAAGGGGAAAACATTGAATTACTAAATGAACTGTTTTTTTGCTGATGACCAGGCTGTCATAGCATCAGCAGCAGTACAACTACAAGAACATATTTATAGACTCCATTAAGAATGCAACAACTGTTATGTGAAGATCAGCGTAAACAAAACAGAAAGGCTGACATTCTCCTGAAAAGGAGGAACCACCAAAGTTAAAATGGATGAACACAAGTTAAAGCAAGCGAAGGATTTCACTTATCTGGGGAGCATTTTTTTAAAAGTGGGAAGAATTAATAAAGAAATTTAGCAAATAAAGCCAATCAATTTTTAAATCCAGCAAAGGTGCAATAAATCCAGTCAATTTTTAAGCCAAATGGAACCAATTTTGAAATGCAAGCATGTGAATATAAACGCTAAAGAAAATTGTTCAACACAATATTCTTACCAACGCTATGGTTTTCAGTGACAACAACAACAAAAGAAATGTTTACGTGCTATGCTGGGTGTAACGAGAAAAGATCGACTTAGCAGCGGTGAAATCAGGAGGAGAGTTCCCCATATGAGATCCGGACCCCATTGTGGAGAAAACAAGAATAGACCCACTGCCTCCACAACAAGCATGTCATAGGAGTCTACTAATTGGGGACATCCTTCATAGTCAAAGTACATCTGCTTTAAAGGCAAATGACCACAAGTCTGCATATAGATAAGCCAGATCTATTTTAAAAAAAGATGTGCATGCCACACTTAGGTTCTGGAGCAAGGCTAAAGTCCGGAGGTGGACAAACACCTACAGTTTTCCGCCTGACTTTACAGCCAATGAATGCAAAGAAGAAAGAGGAGGAGGAGAGTCCGCACAGAACCAATACTGAACTTTATAGGTAGACAATTTCCCCTGTGTGGGTTTCAGGGCCCTGTTATAGGGAAAACAAGAATAGACCCACTGCCTGTCCAAAAGCATGTCGTAAGAGTCGACTATTTGGGACCTTTCTTTAAAGTCGGAGTGCATCTGCCTGAGAGGCAAGGAACCAACAGTCTGCACACAAATGTGTCAGATATGTCAATTGGATGCGCAAGCAGCACTCAGGTTCTGGAACAGGACTGCAGTCCAGAAGTGGATAAACAACCAGAACTTTCCACTAGAGTTTACAGCTGGTGAACGCAATGAAGAAGAAGATAGGTAGACAACGGATCAAATGGTTTGGTGGCATCAGACAGGGCACCACAAAAAGCAGTGCTATACAGATACAGCTGTAAGAAGAATTTATCGTTAGAAATGTGCAGAGATTTGGTTTTATAGACATATTATTAGAATACCCTGAACAGATAAAAATAGTAATGAAGACATTTTGGAAGAAACTTACTCACGAAGAGAACTGATTGCCCGCATCAGAAAGAGACAGTCTACATTCTTTGGACGGTAGGAAAGTAGAAGAGGCAGAGGAAGATCGAGAGAACAGAGGCTTGACAGTTTGACATCATGGCATGGAAGATATCTGTGTCAGAGTTGATTGAAACTACGCGAGACAGAAAGCTGTGGATTGACATGACTACAAACGCCCAATGGCATGGACTTTAAGAATAAGAATGTTGTGATCTGACTGATTTGATTGGTAACGGTTGTGTAATTAGTCATAGAATGTTTTTTCGCACTTGGTGTCTATAGGTGTAGTCCAGTAACCACAGGAAGTCCTTATTCTGTTATAAACTTTCAGTCTTCTTCTTTTGTCATCTCACTCCTACCAGGTTGCAGCCTATTGTCATTGTTTTTCTGTATTTTGCACTTCTCAGGTGGCTTGGATGATGGACTTGTTCATCTGTTTGCAGGTTTCAATTACACCATTTATCCGTCTTTTTCTTGGGGTCTTTCCCCTCACCCTCCTGCCAGATGTTCTGCTGTAGAAATTCTCATGTGCAGTTTGGTTTGGCTGCATTCTCACTAGATGGCTGAACTATTTAATTCTTTGTCTGTAAATTTAATCTTGTTTCAGCTTTCTCTCGATTGCTGGTATTTGTAATTGCACCCCTTCTTGTGTTGCTAATAACCAAACGGAGGCAGCTCATTTCTCAGCTAGTTATTTTCTGGTGCACTACTCATTGTCATGTTTGGTCTGGCCGCATAAAGTTGGGATGAAGATGTTATTAATCATTAGCTGTTTTGCTGGAAGGGAGAGGGAGACATTTGGTTGTCTACACAGTGGGGCTAACTGGTAGGGGACAGCATTTTCCTTCTGTATTCTAGCTTCTATCTCTCTATCAAGTCTATCATCTTCTTTAAAATTCTTCCTAGATATTCAGACTCTTATATACTGTACTTTGAATGCTAACCAGAAACTGTATAAAGGTCATATATCCACATTTCTTTAACAGTGATATCCCAAGAAACGTTGAAAGAGAGGCTGGATTTGATAGGGAGGCAGTTGGGTCTGAATACTGAAGTTCAGGATCAGAAAGTTTCATTAGGTACCGATGTGTTTCATGTGGAAGTTCTGCTAGGAGATGAGGGTACAATAGCAAGCGTGAAGCTGGCCAATCAAGGAGAAGTTGTGGTGAGTTTGTCTATATTCTTTGTAAATAAGCTTGATAAAGGATTATAGTAATTAACTTTACAAGGACATAGGGATATAAGACAGTAGATATGACACTTTACAAGAACACACAGACAGAATATTGTAATTACAAGTTTGACAAATGCATATAATAGTGCATTTTACATATTTTACTAGGATACAATTACACACCAAAAGAAAAGAATTTGCAGACCATGGATGTGTCGACACATGACAATATACATCACATATTTTACAAGGATACAAAGATTAAATGCTGATATTGGGTGTTTTTACAAAAATTGTATTGTAGAGACCATATGTTGTCCGTATATCATGATCCCTCTCCAGCTTGCCTTGTTAACTCCAGAGGAAAAGTAACACCAGTTCACTTGTGATAAAGCATGGTGCAGAAGCTGCACTGTATAGCTGAATGCTATGATGACCATTCTTAATTCAACATTTCTGGATAGTTCAGCGATATGGCTGAGGGGAGACAAGAGAACAGACATGATCATGAAATATAACCTAAAGAAAGACTATAATGCCTGTAAATATATTAACTAGCAAGTTGAAATACTTTATGCATTGTAGACTGAAGAAAAATGGTTTAGCCAACAGGTTAAAATATCTTTAGATTTGTTTAGCTGTCAGAATTGAATCTCTACAGATAGTTTCCCTATTGTAAATTTAAACAAAAGGACAAACAGTTTATTGCCTGGCATATTTCACGATATCTTGCCATGTTTGTCTCTCCATTCTTCCCTCCCACGCAGACATTGTCCAACATGCCCTTTTATTGACTTGAATATTTCACCAGAGTATCAAGACCATGGGAAAATACCTGATTATTTATTATTGCAGAATTGATCATGAAAAAAAAAAGATTTTGTGTTTTTCAAATGTTAGTCTGCATCTTATTTTCTCTAATTTTTTTTTTTTTTTTACAGGAGTGTCCTGCCCTTAGGGAAATTTTGATGTAAGTACACACATATTTTTAATTTTTTTTAAAAGTTTAATCTTTAAAGCAGGAAATATTATTCAGTACAGTGTGTTTTCAAATTAAAAAAAAAATAATGTTAATATATCTATAAATTGTTATGCAGTCCAGATTATTACGAGCAGAGATGGCACAGTAAATAGACTCGTTCCTTCCAGTCTGATGTTCTCCTACTGGCCTGAAGGTCTGGGGTTTGAATGTGCATCAGGGCATATTTTTATAATTGACCGATGCTTCCCTAGTTGACCCAACCTATAATAGGCAATGGGAAATGTTCTAGGAAGTAAAGATGGCAAGATTGACAACATCACCAATTGAGTGGTAACTGGTCTTAGAAATGAATCTGGCACCACATGCCTGTTGCGCCACAAATGTGAAGAGAGTCCTTTACTTTATATTCACTTTTGTGAAGTTGATGATCATTTGTTTTGTCTGTCCATGCTCCATCCACTGTCTCTTCTTCACACTCCAGGTTTCCTCACTGTCTTGTTCTTTACCTTTCATCTCTCCATTTGTCCCCCCCCCCCCCTCTTTACCAGTACCCACTCATTTCTTCTCTCACCTATCCTCTGTTTCTCCTTTCACTCATTCCTCTTCTTCCTTTCTCCTTCCTTCCTATCCTGTCTTCTATTTCTCTTACTTTCTTGTAGCATGAAAATTATTGTATTTATATTGTGATGCCAGACACTGCAATGTGGCTCTTGTTTTTTTGTCACAGGAAGGGAGATTTTGCAGAGTTTGTTGAGCACCTACAAGGTCTTCAGAGCATTTATCAAGTCACTGATGATGAGTAAGTATTAGCTCTTGTTCTGCTCTTAAAACCTGATCACTCCATTTTGAAAAGATCTTGTTTTATTCTTCCATTTAATGTGAAGAATGTCTGCACCTGTATATCTGTGCACACCCTTCTTAACTACATATTTTACTTTGTTTTGCTCTTCCTCTTACCGCCTGTAGTTTGCCTTCTAGTGCTGTTCCTGGCAGCCCATGTATTATCAGGTCCCATGAAACAATGTCAGTCAGTCATTTGCTGTTCCTTACAGCCCATATATTACTAGGCCGTATGAATCAATCAGTCAGTCATTTGCTGTTTCTTACAGCCCAAAAATTACCAGGCCGTATGAATCAATCAGTCAGTCATTTGCTGTTCCTTACAGTGCATGTATTACCAGGCCCTATATATCAATCAGTCAGTTATTTGCTGTTTTTACAGCCCATGTATTACCAGGCCCTATGAATCAAGTCAGTCAGTCATGTGCTGTTCCTGGCAGCCCATGTATTACCAGGCCGTAGGAATCAGTCAGTCAGTCACGTGCAGTTTTCACAAGGAAGTTTGCTGCAGCACATCTCAAGCATGCTGTGTTCGCCCTGGATGTACATTCTTCCAGATTTGTTCATCGACTTCTTGATCTTATCTTCTCATTTGTATTACCGTCTGTCTCTTTCTCACTTTTTTTCTCAGCTGTTTTGTCCAGTATGGTTTTGATAAGAGTAAGTAAAGTAAAGGACGCTTTTACACGCCTTCAGGCGTACTGGGTATATAGGGCCAGACCTCTATTTTAAAGACCAAATGGCACTTGGTGGATGATGTGGTCAGTATCATGCTGGCTGCCTTTACTTCCCAGGACTGTACCTGGTACCCACTCAAGGCTGGGTCGACCTGGGGGCCAAGGTCATTTTGGAAAAATAGTCTGGTCCCTGTCAGGAACCAAACCTGCGGCCTTCTGATCCGCTCGCTAGACCACGGCGCCTCACTTTTTATAAGAGTGATATTTCTTTTAATATAGCTATAATATTTGCCTTGTCTCTTTTTTTAAATTTTCTTTAGCAACTCTCTTTTCATTCAGTATCTATTCATGCTAGTGACAACATTACAGATATAGAGAATCTGTTTCAAGTGAAAGACTTTTCCTGCAGTTTAAAAAAATTACATCTTTCCCAGTAAAGACAGTTGTAAGACAGGGATGTGTTATGTCATCTCTCCTCTTTAACCTTGTGATGGATTGGATACTAAAGAACACAGTAGACAGGACATTGAGAGGCATACGATGGACTCCATTCACCATGCTTGAGGACCTTGATTTTGCAGATGATATAACACTCCTATCACATAAACATGAACATATACAAGAAAAAAAGTAACAGATTACACAGCACAGCAGAAATGGTGGGACTGAAAATAAATAACAAGAAAACTAAGATCATGACAAGCAGTCCAAACCAACAACCAGTGACTATAAATAACCAAACTCTTAAAATGTAGAACATTTCACAGATCTTGGCAGTGTGGTGTCCCTACCGGGAGGGACCGAAGAGGACAGTCACATCTGAACAAAGCTAGAGCTGCTTTTGGAAGGATGAGGCAAATCTGGAAATCCAACAATTACTGCAGAGGAACGAAACTCCGACTCTACAAGAGCATCATCTTGCCAGTTCTTCTTTATGGAGCGGAATGCTGGAGAATGACCAAAAAGGATGCACACAAGCTGTCCACCTTCCAGCACACATGTTTACGTAGAATTATCAAAATTTTCTGCCCAGATACAATCTCGAACACTAAACTACTTCAAGTCACAAACCAAAAAACTTTAGGCAGTATGATAACCAAGAGAAGATGGAAATGGCTTGGCCACGTTATGAGAATGAATCCTGATATACCTGCCAAAACAGCTCTCACATGGACACCAGAGGGAAAGAGAAAACAGGGGGCCCCAAAAAAGAACATGGAGACGAACGATGGAAAGTGACCTGAGTGCAGCATCTTTGACATGGAAATCTACACTGAAGATTGCACAGGACAGGAAAGCATGGAAAGTCCTCTCTGAAGCCTCGTGTGCCACTAGGCATAACGAGAACTGATGACTGATTTCAAGTGAATGAAAGAAGAAGTGTCTGTCCAGACCTCTGTATTTGATAGTTTTTGTTTCCCTGACAAATATACCTATTCCTCTGAATATCCACATCTCCAGAGACTCAGTAGGGCCCATAAAGGAGGATTAGCATCAGATTGGCTTCTTCCATTGAAAGATTATTCTTTTCTTCAGTATTCCAAGCCCTTGGGGTTCATTGCGGACAACATTACCCACCACATTCTTCTTTGGCCTTCTCTTTCCAGTTGGTGACTCCAAGTGTTTTTAGGTTTGCCTGGATTTTAGCCATCACCATCACCATCTTCTTGGTCTGCAGTGTGGGCTGCTGCAGTTCGACTCTTTTGTGTGTGCAGTCTTTGTCTTTCTGTTAATCTTCCATTCTCTCTATGCCATTACAGTCTGTTGGGGGCTATTAATTAAAGGGGATTTAAATAGACTGTAAATTTTATTGTTGCTTCTCATTTTCCATTTTCTACTGCAAGCAGCGGGGAGTGGAGAAACAGCAATGAAAGCTTTTGCTGCAAAATTGAATCCATCATAAACAAGCCAGCAGAGGGTTTGGAGTAAGTGGTTGAGGGCCATTGTGCAATTTTGGAAATGAAAGGAAGATGCTTCTTTGGTCTTTCTTAGAATGAATTAATTAGAACTTTGATCTGGCTGCTGACGATAGGGATGGATTGCTTATGGGAGTGTCCCAAGTGCAGTTTTGTCAGTTCTAAACTCATCGCTACAAAATATTACCAAGGTGTTGACCCAGCCCTGTATAATGGATCCCATGTTAAGTGTGTGTACAGGAATCAGGAATCGGGTCGACTCACTTTCTATTGTAGTAACAGTGTATGTAATAACCTTCTACTTCAGCCCCCTAACAATGTCTGGTCAGGAGTAGGTGAGGGCTCACTTGACATTTAAATCATTGCATGAAAGAAAGCCTGTTGTTTCCTGTTTACAGAAATCGGCATCATCATCCTTTTGTACCATGATGTGTCACATAGGGCTCACATAACATTCCATTTAGTTTTAACTTGACTCCATGAAGAACTTTAAAGGTGTTACTAGTGAACTGCCTTAAAGGAATTATTAGTAAACTATGTTGAGATGGTTTTATCTTTTTTTAAACAGGAAACTCCAATCAAAAGCATTTTTGGCCCTTCAGGCCCTGGAAAAAGATCTTAATCAGCTCGCCCAATTTCAAAGGTAATATACTGTGTTTTTGTTTTTTTTAGATTGATAATCAACTCTTTCAATACGAAACAAAATGTTTGGTCATTCCAAAAAAAGAATCTGATATTCTTGCTGCGTCCTGTCACATACATTTGTTATATTAACCCTTCATGTCTGAATATTATTCGCTACCTACTTCTGTATCACATTATCTCTTCGTACTTCTTCGGGCAGAACTGTTCATTCCTTAGGATGAAAGAAGCTACAGTAACAACTCCATTTTTGTCTACATTGCTGCCTAAATAGATCATTTTGTTTGGCCAGTATATGAATTATGTTGTTTAGTGAAAGCAGTAGCAAACTACTGAGCATTTAATAATTGCCTAGTAAAACCAGAACAGCCAGTAAATGCTGGTGTTGGTTATGCAATGTCTTGTAAAGGAAACCAGAACAGCCAGACAGTGCTGGGGTTGGTTATGCAATGTCTTGTAAAGGAAACCAGAACAGCCAGACAGTGCTGGGGTTGGTTATGCAATGTCTTGTAAAGAAAACCAGAACAGCCAGACAGTGCTGGGGTTTGGTTATGCAATGTCTTGTAAAGGAAACCAGAACAGCCAGACAGTGCTGGGGTTTGGTTATGCAATGTCTTGTAAAGGAAACCAGAACAGCAAGTAAATGCTGGAGTTGGTTATGCAATGTCTTGTAAAGGAAACCAGAACAGCCAGTAAATGCTGGGGTTGGTTATGCAATGTCTCCTAAAGGATATGCAGCTAACCTTTTTGGTTCTCAGTTGGCAGTTTGTAAATTATGATTAATTGTGCTTTGTCAGTCAATCTGATCGTGTCTCCACAATAACAGGGTTGGTTGCAATGTCTCTCCAAAGGAAACCAGTGTCGTTTCTCAGTCCTTGTTATTATGCCCTTCTTCAACAAAATAAACTAGAACAGCAGCCAGTAACAGTGATTCAGTGTTTTTGTCTTTTTCAAGTTCTATTAGTGGTGGGGTTGGTTATGCAATACATTCACAAGTGCCCCCTTGGAATTATGTCACCTCGATTGGCTGGTAAGTACGAAATGTCTGGGTAAATGCCAATGAGTATTGGAACATAATGTGTTAGGTTAATCTTTCCACTACTAAATATGCTTACATTTTTGGTTCTCAGTTGGCAGTTTGTAAATTATGATTAATTGTGCTTTGTCAGTCAATCTGATCGTGTCTCCACAATAACAGTTGGCCGCAATGGATCTCCAACACGTGTCGTTTCTCATCCTTGTTATATGCCCTTTTCAATAACTATTTATAGTAACATGATTCAGTGTTTTTTATTTTTTCAGTTCTATTAGTGGTGTTGCCAACTACATTCACAAGTGCCCCCTTGGAATTATGTTACCTCGATTGGCTGGTAAGTACGAAAGTCTGGGTAAATGCCAATAAGGCATATTGGAACATAATGTGTTAGGTTAATCTTTCCACTACTAAATAGCTTACATTGGTTGTAGTGGCCAGCTTTAACGTTGGCCATCTTTATTTTTGCTGAGATGAAACATACATGCTCATTTTATTTGGTTAGTTTAGCTTGTGAATTTATTCATGTGTTACTGGGGCACATATTATTTTTCTTCTTCTGCCAGTGACCCCAAATGGAGCATAGACCGTCAACAAACTCATGCCAAGTAGCCTGCCCTTTACAATCCCATGCAGCTCACCCTGTATCCTCCCCCCTTTACAAAAAAATTCATTCTGGTTCCCTTTTCTGTGTGTGTGTGAGTGCGTTTTTTTTTTTTTTTTTTAATTTTTGTCTGCTTTTATTCCTTTGACTCAGTGATTTCCATATTCGTTTCTTGTTACTATAGAACTTATGTTAAAAAACAAAACCTGTCATAAGAGTAAACCAAGAAGGATTGGTGTTAGACTACCTACCTGATCCTGTAAAAAACTAGTTGCAAAATCCAGCCATGCATGAAGTCTGCAAAGACTTGCTTGGTGTGAGTTCATAGAGGACTTGGAGTTTATTTAAATTATAAATTACTCTCTGTTTAAATTGTACAGTGTGCTGCATGTAAGTTTTACTGCTCAAGTTTTCTGTGAGACCAGTATCACGTCTCTAACTGAAATACTTTGACCATATTACATGATTTTGGGATTTTAAAAAAGCTGTGGAGTATCACTTCTAGAAGAAGAAGCAGTGGTGAACCAGCACAAAAGTGGACCCCATTTATGAAGACACCTTCAGCGTGACAATACAGGAGGCAGGGAAACTAACAGGGAAGGGAGAGTCTTGTCGGTGGAATGTGACAGGAGCAACAATCTGCACAGCGGCTGCTACACAATAATTTTTGTTGTTTTTTTTTGTTTGATAAAAAAATTTTTTGTAGTGGAGCCTTCTTTTTAACTCCATTATCATTGTGTTTTGCAGAACTTCTTTTCACTCGTGATTAACTCTTTCAGCCCCAAAACAACACAAGATGTGTTACTATTTCCCACATGCACCAAATCAAGTGACTTTTTATATTTAAGTATTGGTCAGTGCAAACTAAATAAATCCGGCAGTCACAAGTGTATCTTGCAGTCATTTTTTCATTCCTACAGCTCAGCGTGTGGTGAGCGTTTTCATGGCCATATAATATGTCATTGAAAAGCATTAACAAATTGTACACAAACCTTATGGGACCAAAAGAGTTTGAATGAATGATATGTTCTTCCCATCTCTTTTTGTTGTTGCAGTTGGTTTAAATGTTCCAGGCATGCAAGTGACTTGCCTGACAGTCTTGGGTTCACATCTGCACAGGCAGATTTAAAAAAAAAAAATGACTGCTGCCAGGTGGACTCGACGTGAAATGGGTACTAGGAATGTCCTGGGAAGTAAAGGTGACCATTTGAATGAATGAAAGAGGCACGGGGCTGTAGTAAAGAAATGATAATAATTCAAACATGAAGGGCTACGATAACAAATATCCTTGATAGAAGGCAGCAAGAAGTTTAGTACCGAAAGAGTTGATGCAGCAAGCAATGTAATAAACACTACATTATAATACTTTTTAACTGTCCTTCGTGGAGTCAAGTTAAAGCTGAATGTAATGGTAAAAATGGCCTTCATTATGTTGACCACTCATTGAGTGCTGACTGATATATGAATATTTGTTTCTTGGATGATATGCTTGAAACATGAAAAGCTTCCTTCAGTGACATGCAACTGATGTCTCCTCCCTCTTGTTTTTGTCACCAGGAAAACCCATGAAGTTGATATACTTTGTGTCCCCGTATGATCTGCTGGACAAAAAGTCATTGACAGCACATCCTTTGACTGTAGAAGGTAAAATCAATATGTCTGCTCTCTGAATGTCACTGTTTTCCATGTGGGTTCTTGGGTTGGATTTTGGAGAACACCCTCCCGCCAATGCCCCTTATGTCGGTTCTGAATGCTCTGTTTTAGAGAACAGAAAATGTACCTACTCCCATCCCCCTTTCTTCGCCCGTCCCCCCATATCAAATATGTTGTGGGAGGTGACTGATTAGTGCTGTTTCGAGGTCAGAGTGCATCTGCCTGAAAGGCAAGGAACCAACAGTCTGCATATAAATAAGCCAGATCTGTAAAACTGGTGTGCACATAGAGCTGAAGTTATGAAACAAGAACAAAGTCCAAAAGCGGATGAACATCGAGAACTTTCCGCTAAAGTTTATAACTGGGGAACGCTAGCAAAAAGAAGAAGAAAAGACATACCTGAGATAGAGCCAGTCAACATTTTATGGCCAGATTATGAGAAGATGAATACAACAACAATTATTTGTACAAATAATTACAGAGGAATGTTGGTGCTTGTAAATCTCCTGAAAGACTGTATTATATATATACCCTTAGTTACCATGCATTGATACCCAGGTTATCTGAACTCTGAAAAGGGTTTCCATTTATCAGTAAGGTTAGCATGTTTTTTGCGCTTGCCTATGCTTTCTCAGTGGCTCAGTGAGTATGCTCTGGAAGACAGAGATGGGCTGGGTCCGAAGTCGGTGCTTGGGAGTCTGATGCGGTCAGGGCTGACACATGTCAGTTTCATATTTGTGCCAGGGCACACAGGCGAAAAGAAAAGTAGCAAGCTGATCGGCTTGCAGGTAAAGCTACTGTGGAGGGTGGACAAGACATGGACCAGGCAGGTATTCTGAATGCTCTACGAGAAGTAAGACGTTTATAAAAACCAAATGATGGCCATGAATCTGTAACCTTGACCAAACTGCAAACAAACATGTTAAAAGGGTTGTGACTAGACAAGAGCAAAATGCAGTAAGCCAAAGAAGAATAACAAACCAACACATAACTGGTGTCCTGAGCCGCTAAACGCTGCAGGATTTACTAAGGGGGGACTAAATGGTTTGATGAGCAGTGAGGATAATCTGTCGACAAACTGATCAACCAACTAGAGTAAGGTTAGCATAGATACTTTTTTTCTAGAACCACTGTCACTATATCATCTCTAAGAGGAGTGTACAGCAGAGCTTTCCTTTCCTTCTTGAAGTTGAGAAACCAAAATAAAATCAGGCTGACCTGAACAAATGATGCTTGCAGAAGTTGGGTGCGCCATCTTAAATGTGCGGATATGGCAGCCATGTTGTAAACAGACATAGCGCATTTATGTCTTTGAATCAATGCAGAAGAAGAGGAAGAAGAAAACAGTCATGAAGAAGTGAACTTGGCCTGAGTTGATTGAATGTCTGCTCACTAAAAGCAGATAAAATGCTGTAGAAATTCACTGATCGTGCCATTTGTGCAGTGATGAAACATCTGTAGACATATTCCTGTGAATCAGACTCCATCATTAAGCAACATGGGATGATAATGAATGACAATTGTCCCTTTTGACTACAACAAATCATATTTCTTTCTTCATTTAGCCATTACTGAAAACTTTTTGGGTCAGAGTGTCACCGTCTGTATTGAGTCAGTCCCTGATCATGCCCCTGCCAACAAACTCCAGACAATGCCATTGATGAACGTCAGCAAAACACAGGATGGCAAGAGGTGGGCATCTCAGTGATGATGTTTTTATTTTTGTTTATTTATGTTAGTTAAAGCTCTAACTTTGAAGTCCCCATAGTTGCTCTGTTCTCTGCCAGTGGGGGAAAAAAATGACTTCATTCTCCCATTTGAGAACTAGTGAAAAACATCAGTCCCAGCAAAATCTTGAAACACACAGACAAAGTAAATGTATAAGGCAGCCATCAGATGTGCCAACACTAACAGTCTCCCACCAGAATTGAAACTCACTGTTGATGCAAGCAGTTAAAAGAAGTAGTAGTAATAACAGTAGTGGTAATAGTAGTTAGTCTCTCTATCAGCATCCAGCTTGCTGTTATTTATGGTAATTTATTTGTATTGCGAGCGGCATCCGTGGCTTAGGCGTTGCGAGTCCGACTCGTAATTTCAACGTACTGCGATCGAAACCCACTGCTGGCTGCATGCATTTTTATCGTGGTATGGGGTTCACATTTCGACCCAGCCTAAAATGGGTACCAGGATGACTGTCTTGGGGAAGTAGAGACGGCCGACGTAATGCTGACCACATTACCCACCTAGTGCCGATGGTCAGAAAAAATATGGGCGCTCCTCATATATACCCGCTGCACCTAAACGCGTGAAATGGGATCTTTACTTACTTTTACTTACTTTTTTTGTATTGTGAGCAAGCATCCTTTAAGAATTCCCAGGTAGCTAGCATCCTTTGGATATTTTCTCAATGTTGGTGTGTTGGGAAATGAATAGGCAGATCGATTGGCTGGTTCTGCACCAGTTGGGAGTGAATTGATGCGTGACAGGCTAGATTTTCCAAGGGTTCTTTTTAGTGAGTGAACAGTTTGGATGCACAAATAGATCCTCACAGTCTGAGGAGAATGGTGCTACGAGGAATGATGAGTCCAATGCTCAGTGCTCAAGGGAAAGGTGAAACGAATATACAGTCATCAGACTGTTACTAGTACCATCGAAATTGGAACTCTGCGCTTGCTACCTCAGAAGGGAGAATGGAGTGCTTACGGGAATATCCAAAGTGCTGTGATATCAGTTCTTCATTCAACATTCACTTGTATTGTGAAAGGTTAGGGAAGGCCCAATACAGATACTGTGTTAGTGGCAGGCATTAAGTCTCACATATATTAGGCTTAGACATATGGGGTAAGGTGACCATTACCCTTTCTAGTCACCTTTCCTTCTCTCCTTTCAGCGTAGTTCCCACAAACACTCTTCTTTTTCTGCGCATTCAGTAGCTGTAAACTCCGGCAGCAAGTTTTGGTTGTTCATCCACTTCTAGACATTGGTCTCATTCCAGAACCCAAGTTTAGTTTGCACATTTGTTTTACAGATCTGGCTTATTTGTGTGCAGACTGTTGGTTCCTCACCTCTCAGGCAGTTGCACTTTGAGAGAAGCATCCATAATTAGTTTACCCTCATGACATTTTTGTGTGTGTGTAGGTGGCAATGGGTCTGTCCTGGCTACTTTCTTCTTTTATGATTTTAATAGGCAATTTTACATACAGTAGTTTGTCATGCTTTCAGAATGGTCAGCTGTCAATACAACTGTTGAAACAACACTAGGTGGTCTGCTGCCAAATAGCTTGCTGCTGGGATCAAACCCAGCACCTCGGCATTACGAAGTGCATTTTTAATGCCCAAGCTGATGAAATATTGTTAACTTGAACATTAACCTGGAGTAGAGAGGTGAGGCCATACGCTTATGTCAAAGTATCGTAGATACCTCTGAAGCTAAGGGCACGGAATCATGTTCAGTTAGGTGATGGAGTTATGACTACAGTGGAAACCCAGCATTGCAGAGGCATTCTCATCAGGAAGAAGTAAAATGAAGAATGTTTGATTGATTAACTAGAACACAATTCTGGAGTAGAAAGTTAGGGCACATGTGTGTGTCAAAGTGTCTTAGATGCTTCTGAAGCTGTGCAACAAGAATCCTCTTCCATTAATTAAATGATGGGGATCGTGACTGCCCTGGGAAACAAGCAAAAATCAGCACGATAGAGGCACTCTCATCAGGAAGAAGACAGGTGAAGAGTGTTTGATAAGAGTATATTTACTGTATTATCTACAGCTTGCCTTCCTTTTCTGCTGTCAGTAAAATCAACAGCATGTTGTTGCCGGCCAGCTTTGTCCTTGTTCTACCTCAGAGTATACCAGTGTCCCTGTACATCCTGCAGAAAATCACCTCTCAGACAGGTAAGTGTTTATCCATCTTGATCTTATTGCTAGTTGGGTTTCCTGTATGGGTTCCAGCGCTCATTTGGGGAAGGGTCCCTTAAAATGTTATAAATGGGGACTATTTAAGGGTTTGTTTAAATTGAGTGAATTGGGCCAGCCACCCTTTTAAGAATAAGAAGTTGGTTCGATTAAGCTGACCCGACAAGACCAAAGTAAAGAGATCTCTTGGTCAAAATGCTGCTCGGCCCCATAACAAGAGGAAGGTGAAGAGGTCTCTTGGTCAAAATGATGCTTGACCCCATAACAAGAGGAAGGCGAAGGAATCTCTTGGTCAGAATGCTACTGGCTCAGCCCAAAAGAAGTTTTTTGTGGTGTTTTTTTAAGAATTAAAAAAAATGATTTTAGAACAATGATTTTATGTATGCCAGTTTTTTGTTTTGTTTACTGTAGCATCTTTCTGTAATAAACATATTACTGTTAATCTTCATCATTTGCTGCACATGAGCAGTCTTGGTTCATCAATTCCCACAATCAACAGTCTCAGTCTTTGTGTGGGTTCTGGGGTGCTGTTGTGGGGGGGGGGGGGGGGATAGATCCACTGATTGCTCCCTTAACTAGCATATTGTAAATGTCAGTTAATTATGGGGGGCTTCCTTGTAAATCGAGTGCATCTGCCTGAGAGATGAGGAACCAACAGTCAGCATACAAATAAGCCAGGTCTGTAAAACAGATTTGCATGCAAAACTCATGTTCTGGCAGAAGATTAAAGTCCAGACGTGGATGAACAACTAGGACTTTCTGCGAGACGTTTCAGCCGGTGAATGCGAAGAAGAGACCAGTCTCAAATCGTTGCCCTGCCTATGCTATGTGACATTTATGTTTATCTCTTTGTCTTCCCCGTGCTGTTTTTTCCCTCTGGTTTGGAAAGTTTTATTAAATTCTGGCCTCTTGCTGACTGACAAATTCTGTTGACTGTTTGTGTTTAGGTTTGGAAATCCACACAGAAGCAGAGCCTCATAGTTTGTGCTCTCTCATACTGGAAGCCTTTTCAAGAGGCACAATCAAAGAATGTAGAGAGTTATATGTTGTAAGTGCATTCTGTGTTGTGTTAATTTTAAAGTAGAGAGTTATTTGTTGTAAGTGCATTCTGTGTTGTGTTTATTTTAAAGTAGAGAGTTATATGTTGTAAGTGCATTCTGTGTTGTGTTAATTTTAATGTAGAGAGTTATTTGTTGTAAGTGCATTCTGTGTTGTGTTAATTTTAATGTAGAGAGTTATATGTTGTAAGTGCATTCTGTGTTGTGTTTATTTTAAAGTAGAGAGTTATATGTTGTAAGTGCATTCTGTGTTGTGTTAATTTTAATGTAGAGAGTTATTTGTTGTAAGTGCATTCTGTGTTGTGTTAATTTTAATGTAGAGAGTTATTTGTTGTAAGTGCATTCTGTGTTGTGTTAATTTTAATGTAGAGAGTTATTTGTTGTAAGTGCATTCTGTGTTGTGTTAATTTTAATGTAGAGAGTTATATATTGTTGTAAGTGTATTTCTGTGTTGTGTTAATTTTAATGTAGAGAGTTATATGTTGTAAGTGCATTCTGTGTTGTGTTAATTTTAAAGTAGAGAGTTATATATTGTAAGTGCATTCTGTGTTGTGTTAATTTTAATGTAGAGAGTTATTTGTTGTAAGTGCATTCTGTGTTGTGTTAATTTTAATGTAGAGAGTTATATGTTGTAAGTGTATTTCTGTGTTGTGTTAATTTATTTTCATAAATATCCATTAGGAAAAATTTTAATCTGTGTCACCTTTTAATGCATAGTTTTTTTTTTTTTTAAAGATATATAATTTTTTAATTGAAAAGTGAGTATTTGTTCATTGCATAGGCTGCAGGGATAGAAACCTTTGCTAAAGAGGAGATAACAATTTGCTACATTGGAAGAAATTTTTATGGGCGATAGGGATTGTGGAAGAAATATTCTGTGTTTGATGATTTGGAGGTGGGTAAGGCAGAAGAAATATTCTGTTTGATGAATTGGAGGTGGGGAAGGCAGAAGAAATATTCTGTTTGATGAATTGGAGGTGGGGAAGGCAGAAGAAATATTCTGTTTGATGAATGGGAGGTGGGGAAGGCAAAAGAAATATTCTGTTTGATGAATTGGAGGTGGGGAAGGCAGAAGAAATATTCTGTTTGATGAATGGGAGTTGGGGAAGGCAAAAGAAATATTCTGTTTGATAAATGGGAGTTGGGGAAGGCAGAAGAAATATTCTGTTTGATGAATTGGAGGTGGGGAAGGCAGAAGAAATATTCTGTTTGATGAATTGGAGGTGGGGAAGGCAAAAGAAATATTCTGTTTGATAAATGGGAGTTGGGGAAGGAGGAAGAAATATTCTGTTTGATAAATGGGAGTTGGGGAAGGAGGAAGAAATATTCTGTTTGATAAATGGGAGTTGGGGAAGGAGGAAGAAATATTCTGTTTGATAAATGGGAGTTGGGGAAGGAGGAAGAAATATTCTGTTTGATGAATGGGAGGTGGGGAAGGAGGAAGAAATATTCTGTTTGATAAATGGGAGGTAGGGAAGGAGGAAGAAATACTACTTGATAAATGGGAGCCAGAGAAAGGGGACTTTTAGGAATGGAAGGTAGGGAAGTCGGAAAAATATTCTGTTTGATAAATAGGAGGTAGGGAAGGAGAAAAACATTACTCACTACTTGATAAATATGAGGTAGGGAGGGTGGAAGAATTATTCTTTATGTGATATATGGGAGGAAGATAAGGAGAAGAAATACTATTTGTTTGATAAATAGCAGAGATTGAGTAAGAAAATTATCTGTTTGACATGAGGTGGCTTCGAATGAAAACCTTAAAATGTGCTAGAAATTACAATAACCATGCCATTGCCTTGTAATATTTAGTATTGCTGTTAAAGATGAAAAGAGTGTTAAGCATATGACATCACGTTGATGTCTGTTTACAGATGGCCATCCCAATTTTGACATGCACCAGAAAAGAGTAGCGCTGCATAATCTTCCTTTTTTTTAATCAGTGAAGGGGTGAAACTTATAGAAATCCATGGAAGAATGAAGGCCCATTATGGAGGTGCATGCCTGTCAGTCAGGCAAGTGTGTGAGTGGAGTAGACAATGTTAAAAACAGTGTGACTTCTGTAGACTGTTCACACTCGTGTACCTGACTCTAGGGCAGGGGTGTATAGTTATTACTGACTGCAATAGTGCTTAAAGATGTTAAAGACCGAAACTCGGGGAAGGGGCGAGTCGGATATACAATCAGACTGTTACTGGTACCATCGGAATTTTAACTCTGCGCTTGCTGCTAAAGATGGGGGACGAAGCGCTTATGGGAGTGTCCCGAGTGCTGTGATGGCAATTCTTAATTCAACATTCAACATTCAAAGACCAGGCTATACTTTTAAACAAGTGCCTTGAATTACTTGATTTTCTCTGACATGATTTGCCACAGTTTAAGAGATGGATTTTTATTTCATGTAGCATTTGGAACTGGTCTTTTCTCTCTCTCTCACAACACACACAACAGACACACACACTCTCTCTCTCTCTCTCTCTCTCTCTCTCTCTCTCTCTCTCTCTCTCTCTCTCTCTCTCTCTCTCTCTCTCTCCCCTCCCTCCCTCCCTTACACTGGGCAAATCATTTCATTTCTACCAACAAAACAATAGCAGTTTCTTCAAATTTGTAATTTTAAAGGGATTTCTGATTTCAGTCACTGCCCGACCAGCAACACATATACTTCCTGGATAGCCTCAATGGCAGTTCTCCAGACCAGCAGGGAGTGATGGTCTCTCGCATCCCCTTCACCCATCCCACCCACGTGCCACAGATCCTCAACCTGATGAGACAGCAGCTGCTCTTTAATATTGTCATTGCCAGCTGTATCAGGCCAGAAGCTAGGAAGGGTAAGTCACTGTCTCAGCCATCGCTGTATCAGGCCAGAAGCTAGGAAGGGTAAGTCACTGTCTCAGCCATCGCTGTATCAGGCCAGAAGCTAGGAAGGGTAAGTCACTGTCTCAGCCATCGCTGTATCAGGCCAGAAGCTAGGAAGGGTAAGTCACTGTCTCAGCCATCGCTGTATCAGGCCAGAAGCTAGGAAGGGTAAGTCACTGTCTCAGCCATCCGCTTTGTATCAGGCCAGAAGCTAGGAAGGGTAAGTCACTGTCTCAGCCATCGCTGTATCAGGCCCAGAAGCTAGGAATGGGTAAGTCACTGTCTCAGCCATCGCTGTATCAGGCCAAAGCTAGGAAGGGTAAGTCCCTGTCTCAGCCATCGCGTATCAGGCCAGAAGCTAGGAAGGGTAAGTCCACGTCTCAGCCATCGCCTGTATTCAGGCCAGAAGCTAGGAAGGGTAAGTCACTGTCTCAGCCATCGCTGTATCAGGCCAGAAGCTAGGAAGGGTAAGTCACTGTCTCAGCCATTGCTGTATCAGGCCAGAAGCTAGGAAGGGTAAGTCACTGTCTCAGCCATTGCTGTATCAGGCCAGAAGCTAGGAAGGGTAAGTCACTGTCTCAGCCATTGCTGTATTCAGTAATGGGTTGTTTGTGTGTTTGTTTACGTTCACCAGCTGTAAACCCCGGTGGGAAGTCCTGGTTGTTGGTCCATTTCTAGACTTTGGCTTTGTTTAAGGACCTGAGTTTTGTTTGTACACCTGTTGTACAGATCTGGCCTAATTGTATGCAGACTGTTGGTTCCTTGACTGCGGAGCAACTTCAGAGGAATCCCCTAATTAGTCAACTTCTATGACATGCTTGTTAGAGAGGCAGTGGGTCCATTCGTGTACCCCCCCCCCCCCCCCACCCCCCCCCCATTTCCACCTGGGTGGGGGAGGGGAGGTGGGAGGTACAAAAAACAAATCAGTTTCCGCCATTGAAGGTGAGGGGGAAAAAACAACGATCTCATGGTACAAGTCACACTGTGGCAGAGATTGGAGCCTCACAGTATAATATTCACAAAGACATCAATAAGCAAACTGAAGCCAACTTTCAAGGTGGAGATGGCACAGAATAATTTTTTCCCCTCCCCACTTTCACCGGGCAGTAAACTCTGACGGAAAGTGTTGTTTATCTACTTCTGAGCTCTGTTCTTGTTTCAGAACGTAAGATTTGGGTATAAATCTGTTTTATAAATTTGACTTATTTGAATGCAGACTGTTAGTTCCTCACCTCTCTGGCACATACACTCCGACTTTGAAAGAAACACTCTTAATTAGTCAAATGTTATGACATACTTGTTGGAAGGTTGGGGGAGGGGGGGGGGGTTGCAGTTTTTGTATTCTCTCCTCTTTTCTTCCCAAAGTGGGTCCCTGGAACACGAGGAGCACAGAAATAATAATAATAAGTATATTTTTGCTATGTTGATTCTTTTTCTAATCTCTAGGAAGCATCCTGCATTCAGCAGGTTTTGTGACTTCCAGAATGGTTATATCAGTTCACTTGTGTCAGAATTTTCCCATTTACATATTTCTTACATTGTGCTATTTATATTTTCTTCCGGATTGGCCATGTTTTGTGTGTGTGTGTGTGTGTGTGTTTTTTAACAGCCAACAACAGAGTTTCTGTTGCAGACTCCTTGCCTCTTGTATCACTTTAGACCTTTTTGGCATTGCCTCTAACATAATACCCATATATGATGAATAGCATATGCTGAGTAGATGCAGAAATGTAATATCAAGGATGTATCCACGGATAAGTGCACAACTAGACATTTTAACTAAATGTCATCAATCAATCCGGTGTCATCTTCACCTTGAATATTTGCTGCCTGGGATCTCCAACACACTCTGTCATGGTTGTCAACTCAGACTGCTGTTATCCATCCTGTGATGTTATCCTCACATTTGTTTGTCATACATAGACTGGAGCAGTGTCATTGGGGTAGGCAGAAACATCGATGGCTCTTGCAGTAAAGAATCTTACAGACTTCCTGAAGTCGATGAAGAACAAAAGAAGGCCCAAATATATGTGAACATATTTAAATTTAGAAAACATCTTTTGGAGAAAGTGACCTTGTTTATCTTTCTGTGTGCAGATCATGTCAATAGTATTGTGTTTGAGGTGACAGCTGTCTCCTTACAGCAGCTGACCATTGTCTTTGAGCATCCTGCCTACGACTCCATGGTTACAGGTATAGTGTTACATGCTGTGGTGTTATTTTGTTTCAGACAGGTGCTTTATAGCACATCTTTGATGTAACAGTAGTAGAGAACTGATTTGATTTGATTTGATTCAAGAATCAAAATCACAGCACTTGGTGCATTCCCATAAAGTGCTCCGTCCCCATCTTCAGCAGCCAGCGAAGAGTTCCGATACTAATGGTGCAGGTAGCATTCTGATTAAACGTCCGTCTTGCCTTTCCTCTGAGCCGTAATCATCTGCCAGAACCTCTATCACTTCCCCCTGCATCAATCTCACCCGACTCGTGATCAGTCTGCTCCTCCAGACTGTACACGCCCTCCCACAAGGCCCTAACCACATCTGCCTTATCATGTATCAGTATTCCACCAAGTTTTGCAGAGCCAGCCAGTCTGTCCGCCTGTTCATTTCCCAACAACCGGCTTGCCCCGGTGAAAAAGTTCAGACAATACTCCTCACCCGTGTCCCCTCCGCAGCAACATGCCACTCTGCACGAAGCATCCTGTCCTGATCTTCCTACATCATGCTTTTCTGAGTCATTTACAATCACGGTTTGGGGTGTGTGTTTTGGTTTTATAATCAGTGGGAAAAAAAGCAGGAACGCCTCCACCCCTTTTTTTACTGGATTTGTGGGATCATATTTTAGGTTTTTTCAACAAACGTCGACCATTAACTTTTGGGAAGAAACCCCAAGCACTTCTTTTTCCTCTTGACAAGAACCCTGTGTAAATGATCAAATCCTTAGCAAACATTTCTTGAATTAGTTCTGATTTCCACCCCTTTGGCACCTGCTGGGCCGCACTGCATTCCCGGGTCATGTGATTATGACCCCACACAAACGATGTTCAGGGGGCATTTGGGACTTTGGCCCTTTCCTCTCCTCCCTAATGTTCGTAAGGATGCAACCGTCTGGTTTTTTTCTTTTGCCTAACCAATCCTGTTCCCTCTTATCCCGCTGCCCTTTTCTGCATCAACCGAGCTTTGTGCAAAAGGGTCTGTGTCGCGCTACCCGAGATATGATTTGCCTGCACACCCATGCCACCTGCAAATCAAAGGGTATATTGCATACACACCACTGGAGTGTTTGGTGCAAAACCCAGAATGCCTGCATCTGCGTTCTGTATAGCTCTAATTTTTCCGACTTTTTGAACGGTGAGAACTAAACGTAATAGCACGAAGAAGTAGGTCTAGGTCAAATCAAAGCCATATTAATACGCAAAATAAATAAGTGCTGACTTAAAGCATTGGGGGGGGGGGGGGGTGATTTGTTTTTCTTGGGCTCTCCTCCTCCTTTTTGTCTACCCTCCTCTTCCTGCAGTTACTTTGGCTGTGTGGAATAGTATTGACTGTGTGGAATAGTTTTGACTGCGTGGGAAAAGTTTTGACTGGTGGAAAATTTTGACTGCGTGGAATAGTATTTGACTCGTGGGAAAAGTTTTGGCTGTGTGGAATGTATTTGCCTGTGTGGGAAAAGTATTTTTGGCTGTATGGAAAATATTTGGCTGTGTGAAAGTATTTAAAATGTGTGGAATAGTATTTGG